AGAGGCTGGGAAGGGTAGATGGAGTCAGGGTGGAAGGTTGCTGGGGAAGAGGGGATGGTTAATGGGTGCAAAAAACAGCCAGAAAGAATAAATAAGACCGAGTACTTGCTAGCATAACAGGGTGACAGTAGTACAAATTAATTTAACTGTTCAATTAAAAATAAAAGAGTATAATTGGATTGTTGTCAACCAAAAGGATAAATGCTTAAAGTGATGGATACCCTATGTATCCTGGTATGATTGTGATTTTTTTATTATTACTCATTGCATGCCTATATCAAAATATCTCATGTAACCCATATATATGGTGTATATATATGTGTGTGTATACATATATATACACCTACTATGTGCTCACAACAATTAAGAATTTGAAATTTTTTGAAAAACAAGAGATGTTGAGGAAGCAATTGGCTTCATAATTCTGGAGTTTAGAGGAAGCTTAGAGATATAAATTTGGGAGTTAGTAGCATACTAATGGAATTTAAATCCCCAACACTATTTGAAATTTAAAGAACTGAATTTAGACAGAGAAAATAACCAAATAACCAAGGACCCTAATCACTCCAAAATTAAGAAGTCAAAATATCAATTTTTTCAGATTTGATAAATTTTAACAAAATTAAATTTTTATTGAAAATGCATCTTTTTTCTTTTTAAGTTCAGGGGTACATGTGCATGTGTTTTATATGGGTGAACTCAGGTCATGGGAGTTTGTTGGACAAATGATTTCATCACTCAGATATTAAACCTAGTACCCACTGGTTATTTTCTCTGATCCTCTTCTCCCTCACACCCTCCATTCTCAGTTAGGTCCCACTGTCTGTTGATGCCTTTTTTTTGTCCATGTGTTCTCAGCATTTAGTTCCTACTTATAAGTGAGAACATGCAGTATTTGGTTTTCTGTTCCTGAGTTAGTTTGTTAAGAATAATGGCCACCAGCTTCATCCATATACTTGCAAAGAACAGGATTTCATTCTTTTTTATGGCTCCATGGTGTATGTGTGCCACATTTTCTTTATCCAGGCTATCATTAATGGGCATTTAGGTGATTTAGGTGGATTCCATGCTTTTGCTCTTGTGAATAGTGCTGCAATGAACATACACATACATGTGTCTTTATGGCAGAATGATTTATATTCCTTTGGGTATACACCTAGCAATGGGATTGCTGGGTTGAATGGCAGTGCTGTTTTTAGCTCTTTGAGGAATCTCAACACTGCTTTCCACAATGTTTGAACTGATTTACGCTCCCACCAGCAGTGTATAATCATTTCCTTTTCTCTGCAAACTCACCAGTATCTGTTATTTTTTGACTGTTTATTAATAGCCATTCTGACTAATGTGAGATGGTATCTCATTGTGGTTTGATTTGCATTTATCTAATGATTAGTGATGTTGAGCTTTTCTTCATATCCTTGTTGACCACATGTATGTCTTCTTTTGAAAAGTATCTATTCATGTCCTTTGCCATGGGGTTTTCTTAATGGATTTTTTTTTCCTGTAAATTTGTTTATTTGTTTAAGTTATCTATAAATGTTGGATATTAGACCTTTGTTGGATACATAGTTTGCAAAAATTTTCTCCCATTCTGTAGGTTGTTTGTTTACTCTGATGATAGTTTCTTTTTCTGCACAGAAACTCTTTAAATTTGATTTGACTTGTCAATTTTTGGTTTGTTTGCAATTGCTTTTGGTGTATTCATCATGAAATCTGTGTTCATTCCTATGTCCAGACTGGTATTGCCTAGGTTGTCTTCCAGGGTTTTTATAGTTTTGGGTTTTACATTTAAGACTTTATCGATCTTGAGTTGATTTTTGTCTATGGTGTAAGGGAGACATCCAGTTTCAATCTTCTGCATATGACTAGCCAGTTTTCCCAGCACCATTTACTGAATAGGGAGTCTTTTCTTCATTGCTTGTTTTTGTCAGCTTTGTTGAAGATTAGATGGTCATAGGGGTGTGGCCTCATTTCTGGGCTCTCTATTCTGTTCCATTGGTCTGTGTGCCTGTTTTTGTACCAGTACCATACTGTTTTGGTTACTATGGCCCTGCAGTGTAGTTTGAAGTCAAGTGGCATGATGTCTCCAGCTTTGCTCTTTTTGCTTGGATTGCCTTGGTTATTTGGGCTCTTTTTTGGTTCCATATGAATTTTAAAATAACTTGTTCTAGTTCTGTGAAGAATGTCATTGGTAGTTTGGTAGGATTAACATTGAATCTATAAGTTGCTTTGGGCAGTATGGCCATTTTGATAATATTGATTCTTCCTATGCATGAGTATGGGATGTTTTTCCATTTGTTTATATTATCTGTGATTTCTTTGAGCAACGTTTCGTAGTTCTCATTGTACAGATCTTTCACTTCATTGGTTAGCTCTATTCTTTGGTATTTTATTATATTTGTGGCAACTGTGAATGGGATTGCCTTCCTGGTTTGACTCTTGACTTGACTGTTGTTGTTGTATAGGAATGCTAGTGATTTTTGTGCATTGATTTTGTATCTGAAATCTTGCAGGTGTTGTTTATCAGCTGAATGGGCTTTTGGCCATAGACTATAGGGTTTTCTGATACAGAAACATGTCATCTACAAACAGGGATAATTTGACTTGCTTTCTTCCTATTTGGATGACTTTATTTGTTTCTTTTGCCTGATTGCTCTGGCTGGGACTTCCAGTACTATGTTCAATAGGAGTTGTGAGAGAGGGCATCCTTGTCTTATGCCAGTTTTCAAGGGGAATACTTCCAGCTTCTGCCCATTCAGTATGATGTTGCCTGTAGGTTTCCCATAGATAGTGCTTATTATTTTGAGGTATGTTCTTGGAAATGCATTTTTAATAAGATAGATGGGGCTTAATATTTTTGATTAGTAATGTGTTTCTGGATAAACAACTTACTACTTTAATGAGACAGGGTTCACCATAAATTCTATTATAATTTGTTTTATTATGTAGATACTGATAGACATTTCTTATACTATGGGAAATGGAAATTATATGATAGTATACCTATACATGTACTTATATTTATTAATGTACATGCCAAAGTTCTATATCATTCATCATCAAAAATTATTTTTAGTGCTATATGAGCTAACAACTTGATTGTTTCCCTCAATTTTGTTGAAAACAGAGAAGTGAAATTTAATTTGCAAATATATTTATTATCCAAAAGCAGTCCTTTCCTGAATATCACATTAATATTTAAAATTATCCCTTTGTTTGAAGCCATAAATATTTTTGTCTCCCAGAAAAATATATCACAATACCCTGAATAGGTAAAAAAGAGGTATGTCCTTCTTTTGAAAAGTAAGGAAAGGAAAACTGTGAAAAGGGTGGTGGGAAAGTAATACTCTCCCCTCCAAAACAGGTGCTTTGTCAGACAGATCAGTCTGAGGACCAAGTATATGTCAAAGTCAAAGATCTGGAGGTTTATTCCTTTAGTCTAATTCAGGCATAGTATCCCTGAGAAGCTCTTCACATGCCATTCAGAGTATGTGTATCTTAGTTTGAATAGTAGAATAAAATTTGGAAAGGCTTAGAAACAAGACCCAGCTCGACACAGCAATAGCAAAATCTTACATTTGCATAAGAAGTTGTAGTTTACAAACTGTGTTTATATTCACTACCTCAATTCTCTCCCTCAACAATCACGTGGGATGATTAAGGCAGACTTACAGGACAAGAAAAAGAGTTCTTCAATGTAGAAAAATGTTGTCTTTAAAAATGTTTTAGCAACAATGTTTAAAAAATTTATTCTTTCCTTTCTTCTCCTCTGTATTCAGACTCTATTATCCACTAATCTTCACCCAAACAGACTTTGAAAGAAATTTGCATAGTGACATTTCACTACTTCCGTATTGAGGTTCCATTTAGTCCTAAGCTACGTACACATAAAAATTTCATCTAAAATTAATGCTAACATAATGGGGAAAATGTATGCTTAATCTATCTCCAGATTAATGCCATCATGCCTGTCTAATTTAGAACTTCCCTGTTCCAAACATCTTTCTTCACCTCTTACTATAAGTATTACAACTATGTCTGGAAGCAAAAAAAAAAATTAACATTTATTTTAGGTTCAGGGGTACATGTGCACGATATGCAAGTTAGCTACCTAGGTAAACTGGTGTCATGGGAGTTTGTTGTACAGACTATTTCCTCACCCGTGTATTAAGCCTAGTACGCATTAGTTATTTTTCCTGATCCTCTCCCTCCTCTCACCCTCTGAAATGCCCTAGTGTGGGTTGTTCCCCTCTATGTGTCCATGTGTTCTCATAATTTAGCTCCCACTTATGAGTGAGAACATGCAGTATTTGGTTTTCTGTTTCTGCGTTAGTTTGCTGAAGATAATGGCCTCCATCTCCATCCATGTCCCTGCAAAGGACATGATCTCATTCTTTTTTTATAGCTGCATAGTATTCCATGGTGTGTATGTACCACATTTTCTTTACCCAGTATATCAACCTAAATGCACTTTTAGATATTGTGGGAAATATCTACTCAAGACCTTTGGATGACAGAGATTTTTGAGGTTGTTTCCACGCATACTGCTCTGGTGTTTATGATAATCCTGGCACACAGCAGATGTTCAGTTATACTTGCTGAGTGAGTCTATGAATGCATAATTCAATGTCCTTCTTCCATCAAGACCATACAATGAATACACACAGCCCAGGGTGACATTTAAGACTGAGCCTGAAGAATTTTCAAGACCTGGATAGGCAGGGATGGGGAGAGAAGGGCATTTCAGGAGAAGGAACTACACATGCAAAGTCTCAGAGTCACAGAGGCTTGGTCCAGTGGATGTGGGAAGACATTGGATGATGCAGGGAGAAGAGGGATCAGGAGCAGAGTCTAGCAGGGGACCGACCCTGCAAGGCCTTCAGTCCAGGCTGTGGCATTTGCCCTTCATCCTCCAGCAATGGAGAGGAAACATGGCCATTCAGATTGTGGAGGAACTGGACAAGCAGGCATCTGGAAGCACAGTCTGGAGGCCTGAGGGATTAGCCTGTGACAGTGTTTGAAGCCTCCACACCCACTGCTGCCCTCACCACCTTCCTACTGTAGAAACTGACACTGAGGAAGATGAAGCAGATACAGAGAAGCAGGGTCTTCACAGCTCCCTCCCTGGTGGCTGCCAGAACCACATCCTTCATGGGCCCTGATTTTTTGGAGGAAATATGGGATGAGGCCAATTCAGTTGCTGCATTGTCATGGGAAATGCTGATAACAAGGTACCTAGAGGCATAAACCACGCAGAGTTGGATGGTCCACCATGCACTCACGCCTGTTCTGGAGAAGTCTATGCAGCAATTGTGGTAGGTGTCGTGGTCCTGAGGTCTGAGTGTGAGGTTGAGCACTGAGAAATGGGAGGTTGTTGTTCCAGTTCCTTGGGAGGACAGGGCCTCCCCCATCCAGGAGAAAGAAGGGGTTAGGCATTCCTCAAAAACCCAGTTAAACACACAGATGACTGTCACTGGCTTCCCATGCTCTAGGGCCTTGGGGATGTAGACATCAGGCTTCTGAGTCAGGGCTGTCAGTTCCAGAAAGAATGTATTCATGAAATTATATCTCACAAAGCTTCCTCTCTTCACTTGAAAGGAGTACACTGCCGTATCCTCCATCTGCACATCTCTGATCACCAAGGAGCAACTGTGGTAGTGGGGATCCCCAGTGAGCTGGAATTGGCCCTAGGTACTTATTTGCACTACTTATTTTGAGTTGTTTTTTGCCACTAGAGCACTCATGTTTGTGTCGGTCCCTCCTTTGAACCAGTGGCCACGGGCTGGGGTAGACTTGTCCAGCCCCTCAGTGGATAGGAGAAGGAGCAAGTCACAGAGACACACAGTCCCTCCTGCACCATCTCTGACTCCTGCACTTGCAGCCAGAATCTCCCATCCAGAGCCTGAGACCTGCTCAGCAGCAAAGACAGCAGCAGCAGCAAAGGAGGCACAGCGACCTGCCTGAGACAGGGCTATTCCCTGGCTGTGCTGTGAGTGACTCAGGAAGCTGGAGGCAGAAGTGGAAGTCGAAGGTGGGAGCTGAGTCCTGGGGCCTTGCCCACTAGTCCTCCCAGCTCTCCTGGGACCCAGCCTGTGACCTGGTCCTTCCAGAGCCCTGTCTGGCACAGGAAGCAAAAATTTATTCAATAAGAAAACTTGAGGATAAATGTCTATGCAGTAAATCTGGTTTTTCCTCAATGAATGGACCTGGCTTTCATGAATGTTTATAGGTAATTGTATCTTGTTTTTCAATGTACTCCACATTGAGATATACCAGTCAGAACTGATCATAAAAGTTGTGGACTTTGACAAAAGTATGTATAGGCACACATCAAAATATAACCTATCAAATAAATTACACTTGTGCTAGTCTTGCACTGGTTGATTTTTGTGATGTGAAAGACCATGTGTCTAGGAGCTTATTACGTGCAATTCAAACCTTCAGCACCATGGTCAGCATCTACTTTGCCCATAAGTTTCAGAAGAGGCCGGTCATGAATATCAGGTTTCATTGGATTTCAGAGGTTAAGGACCCTTTAAGTCAACCAATCTACCACCCATTGAATTCCTGCATTTTTCTCTACTGTCATCCAGACTCTGCCTTAGGTGGTCAGCATCATCTTATGGTTACAGTAACAGGTATAGTTCATTTGATTAATGCCATTTACATGAATGAAACACGGAGGCTAAAGCAGCCCTACAGCTCAGAAAGAAATGTTTATTATAGATAAATTGTTTATTCCAGATAAAATGTTTATTCTAGACATAAAATTTTATTTTAGCGTCCGATATATACTGGTACATTTGGCTTACTGACTTTATTTACTACAACAACCCTTCATTGAGTGTAATGCAAACTTTTTCTAGGAATTGAAATGGGATGAAAATGAAATATAAGGAAGACAAAATCCTTTATCTCAAAGAATTCATACTTAAGTAGGAGATAGAGACAAGAATATAACAACTTATAATATCACAATAAAGTCTACAGTCTAAACATATGTGCTGGGACAGCATAGAAGAAGCAATTAATTATATTTTGAGTGGCAATTACTAGGAGAGGTGACATTGAAAAATAAGTCAACATTTTAAAGGGAGATAAGCAACAGAAGAAAACCAGAGAGAGTAAACTATATGGACTAAGTCACAGAATAGCAAAAATACATAGTGTTTTGAATTTTCTCATATGGGATTGTCAAATAACTCGCAATGAATAGATCTTTGGAGTTCCCAAGATGCTTAATAGCAGCAGCAAAAAGTAATAGAAGGTAGTGGCGTACTTAACATGATTTAACCAGAACTGCAAAGTCCTATACCCTTCAAAATATGTCTTTTCTATGCAGGAGTTTTTGTGTCTAAAATTATAAAATTCATTCCTTTAGTATATCCTTAATAACATCTTAGTGTTAGTGACTGAACCAGACATATTCTTAACCACGAGAGAGGACTGCTGTAAAAGCATGACAACCATGGAATAGGTACTGCAAGTTAGGAAAGGAGGTTGTAGCAAAAGAGTACAAGAGACACACTTCATATTTCTGCCTAGTTGCAAACCCTAAATATACATCTGGCATATAAAATACATTAAGCATCAAAATCCAGTAGTCAATAAACATTTATTGGGTACACACTGTGTCAGAAATTCTCCAATAAATGAATAAAACACACATTCTTTCCTTGAAGAGCTACACTCAACTGGGAAGGATAGATGGTAAAAGGGTAATTTCAGTATGGTGTGGCATGTGCTCTGACAAAGATTTTAAAAAGAATTCGGTGGATACTTTAACTGTCAAGAGGCTTGAGGAATGCTTCATGGAGGAGAAAATAGTAAAGCTAATTTTTTGAGTAGTGTTTAAAGGAAAATAAAGAGGACAGTATATTCTAGGCAAAGAAAATAGCATAAGCAAATGCACAGAGTTTTAAAATAGCATCTTTCATATGGAGAACAATATGCGGGAACATACGCATAAAAATATATCTAGATACACAGTTTAAATGTGGGGCATCCTGAAACATGAAGAAATTCAGGATACTGTTTTATTGCCAATAATAATTGCTTTGGTACAGTGATCTAGAAATTTTAGCTTGAAAATTTGCTGGGAAGCATTTCTAAATCAAACTTAATACCACATTTATTGATTTAATTATTTCAATAAGTATTTATTAAGCTAGCTACTAGGAAAAATCCAGAGAAAACAGGAATTGGAAATATCAAATTACAAAATTATTTTAGATTTCAAGAATGGCAGAATGACAGTATCTGTATAGAAAAATGTATGTTATTCAACTAACAGGCAAAAAAACACATAGCATCATAATGACAGGATCAAATTCACATATAACAATATTAACTTTAAATGTAAATGGACTAAATTCCCCAATTAAAAGACACAGACTGGCAAATTGGATAAAGAATCAAGACCCATCAGCGTGCTGTATTCAGGAGACCCATCTCACATGCAAAGACACACATAGGCTCAAAATAAAGGGATGGAGGAAAATTTACCAAGCAAATGGAAAACAAAAAAAGGCAGGAGTTGCAATCCCAATCGCTGATAAAACAGACTCAGATAAAACCAGCAAAGATCAAAAGAGACAAAGAAGGGCATTGCATAGTGGTAAAGGAATCAATGCAGCAAGAAAAGCTAACTATCCTAAACATATATGCACCCAATAAAGGAGCACCCAGATTCATAAAGTTCTTAGAGACCTTCAAAGAGACTTAGACTACCACACAATAATAGGAGATTTTAACACCCCACTGTCAATATTAGACAGATCAACGAGACAGAAAATTAACAAGGATATTCAGGACTTGAACTCAGCTCTGGACCAAGCAGACCTAATAGACATCTATAGAACTCTTCACCCCAAATTAACAGAATATACATTTTTCTAAGTGCCACATGGCACTTATTCTAAAATTGACTACATAATTGGAAATAAAACACTCTTCAGCAAATGTAAAAGAATGGAAATCATAACAAACAGTCTCTCAGACCACAGTGCAATCAAATTAGAATTCAGGAATAAGAAACTCACTCAAAACTGCACAACTACATGGAAACTGAACAACTTGCTCCTAAATGACTACTGGGTAAATAATGAAATTAAGGCAGAAATAAAGATGTTCTTTGAAACCAATGAGAATAAAGACACAAAGTACCAGAATCTCTGGGACACATTTAAAGCAGTTTGTAGAGGGAAATTTATAGCATTAAATGCCCACAAGAGAAAGCAGGAAAGATCTAAAATTGACACCTAACATCGAAATTTAAAGAACTAGAGAAGCAACATCAAACAAATTCAAAATCTAGCAGAAGACAAAAAATAACTAAGATCAGAGCAGAACTGAAGGAGAGACATAAAAAAATCCTTCAAAAAAATCAATGAATCCAGGAGCTGGTTTTCAGAAAAGATCAACAAAATAGACCGCTAGCCAGACTAACAAAGAAGAAAAGAGAGAAAAGAATCAAATGAGAAAAGAATCAAATAGATGCAATAAAAAATGATATAGGGGATATCACCCCTGATCCCACAGAAATACTAACTACCATCAGAGAATACTATAAACAGCTGTACACACATAAACTAGAAAATCTAGAAGAAATGGATACATTCCTGGACACATACACCTTCCCAAGACTAAACCAGGAAGAAGTTGAATCCCTGAATAAACCAATAACAAGTTCTGAAATTGAGGCAGTATTTAATAGCCTACCAACCAAAGAAAGCCCAGGACCAGACGGATTCACAGGTGAATTCTCACAGAGATACAAAGAGAACTGGTACCATTCTTTCTGAAACTATTCCAAATAATAGAAAAAGAGAGAATCCTCCCTAACTCATTTTATGAGGCCGGCACCATCCTGATACCAAAATCTGGTAGACACAAAACAAAAAAATAAAATTTCAGGTCAATACCCTTAATGAACATTGATGCAAAAATCCTCAATAAAATACTGGCAAACTGAATCCAGCAGAACATCAAAAAGCTTATCCACCACGATCAAGTTGGCTTCATATCTGGGATGCAAGGCTGGTTCAACATCAATAAATGTAATCTATCACAAAAACAGAACCAATCACAAAAACCACATAGATGCAGAAAAGGCCTTTGACAAAATTCAACACCCCTCATGCTAAAAACTCTCAATAAACTGGGTATTGATGGAACGTATCTCAAAATAATAAGAGCTATTTATGAAAAACATACAGCCAGTATCATACTGAATGGGCAAAAACTGGATGCATTCCCTTTGAAAACTGGCACAAGACAAGGATGGCCTCTCTCACCACTCCTATTCAACATAGTGTTGGAAGTTCTGGCCAGGGCAATCAGGCAAGAGAAAGAAATAAAGGTATTCAAATATGAAGACAGGAAGTCAAATTGTCTCTGTTTGCAGATGACGTGATCATATATTTAGAAAACCCCATCGTCTCAGCCAAAAATATCCTTAAGCTGATAAGCAACTTCAGCAAAGTCTCAGGATACAAGATCAATGTGCAAAAATCACAAGCATTCCTATACACCAATAACAGACAGAGAGCCAAATCATGAGTGAACTCCCACTCAAAATTGCTACTAAGAGAATAAAATAGCTAGGAATCCAACTTACAAGGGATGTGAAGGACCTCTTCAATGAGAACTACAAACCACTGCACAAGGATTTAAGAGAGGGCACAAACAAGTGGAAAAACATGCCACACTCATGGATACGAAGAATCAATATAGTGAAACTGTCCATACTGCCCAAAGTAATTTATAGATTCAAAGCTATCCCCATCAAACTACCACTGACTTTCTTCCCAGAATTGGAAAAAATACTTTAAACTTCATATGGAACAAAAAAAAAAAAAGAGCCCTCATAACCAAGACAATCCTGGGCAAGAAGAACAAAGCTGGAGGGGTCATGCTACCGGACTTCAAGCTATGCTACAAGTCTACAGTAACCAAAACAGCATGGTACTGGTAACAAAATAGATACGTAGATCAATGGAACACAACAGAGGCCTCAGAAATAACACCACACATCTACAACCATCTGATCTTTGACAAACCTGACACAAACAAGCAATGGGGAAAAGATTCCCTATTTAATAAATGTTGGGAAAACTGGCTAGTCATATGCAGAAAACTGAAACTGGAACACTTCCTTATACCTTATACAAAAATCAACTCAATGGATCAAAGGCTTAAACGTAAGACCTAAGACCATAAAAGTCCTAGAAGAAAACCTGGGCAATACCATTCAGGACATAGATATGGGCAAAGACTTCATGTCTAAAGCACCAATAGCAATGGCAACAAAACCTAAAATTGACAAATGGGATCTAATTAAAGTAAAGAGCTGCACAGCACAAGAAACTATCATCAAAGTGAACAGGTAACCTACAGAATGGGAGAAAAAGTTTGCAATCTATGCATCTGACAAATGACTAATATCCAGAATCTACAAGGAATGTCAACAAATTTATAAGAAAAAAAACAAACAACATCATCAAAAAGGGT